CTGTCGTGTCCTGTCTGTCTGTCTGTCTGTCTGTCTGTCTGTCTGTCTGTCTGTCTCTGTCTGTCTGTCTGTCGTCTGTCTGTCTGTCTCTGTCTGTGTGTGTGTGTGTCTGTGTGTGTGGTGTCTCTGTGTGTGTGTGTGTGTCTGTGTGTGTGTGTGTGTGTCTGTCTCTGTGTGTGTGTCTCTGTGTGTGTGTCTGTGTGTGTCTGTCTGTCTGTCTGTCTGTCTGTCTGTCTGTCTGTCTGTCTGTCGTCTGTCTGTCTGTCTGTCTGTCTGTCTGTCTGTCTGTGTTGTGTCTGTCTGTGTGTGTGTGTGTGTGTGGTGTCTGTGTGTGTCTGTGTGTGTGTGTGTGTGTGTGTGTGTGTGTCTGTGTGTGTGTGTGTGTGTGTCTGTGTGTGTCTGTGTGTGTGTGTGGTGTGTGTGTGTGTGTCTGTGTGTGTGTCTGTGTGTCTGTGTGTCTGTGTGTCTGTGTGTCTGTGTGTGCTGTGTGTCTGTGTGTCTGTGTGTCTGTGTGTCTGTGTGTCTGTGGTGTCTGTGTGTCTGGTGTCTGTGTGTCTGTGTGTCTGTGTGTCTGTGTGTCTGTGTGGTCTGTGTGTCTGTGTGTCTGTCTGTGTGTCTGTGTGTCTGTGTCTGTGTCTGTGTGTCTGTGTGTCTGTGTGTGTCTGTGTGTCTGGTGTCTGTGTGTCTGTGTGGTCTGTGTGTCTGTGGGTCTGTGGGTCTGTGGGTCTGTGCGTCTGTGCGTCTGTGCGTCTGTGCGTCTGTGCGTCTGTGGGTCTGTGTGTCTGTGTGTCTGTGTGTCTGTGTGTCTGTGTGTCTGTGTGTCTGTGTGTCTGTGTGTCTGTGTGTCTGTGTGTCTGTGTGTCTGTGTGTCTGTGTGTCTGTGTGTCTGTGTGTCTGTGTGGCTGTGTGTCTGTGTGTCTGTGTGTCTGTGTGTCTTGTGTCTGTGTGTCTGTGTGTCTGTGTGTCTCTGTGTGTCTGTGTCTCTGTGTGTCTGTGTCTCTGTGTGTCTCTGTGTCTCTGTGTCTCTGGTCTCTGTGTCTCTGTGTCTCTGTGTCTCTGTGTCTCTGTGTCTCTGTGTCTCTGTGTCTCTGTGTCTCTGTGTCTCTGTGTCTCTGTGTCTCTGTGTCTCTGTGTGTGTGTGTGTGTGTGTGTGTGTCTGCGCGCGCGCGCATGCGCGTGCGTGAGTGTCACATGGGCATGTGCACGTGCACGTGCGGTTGTGCGTGCGCTGACAGTATACTACAATATACTACAACCTACAACAATATTCTACAATATACCACAATATACCGCACACAATTACCACAGTATACCACAACGTGCTACAATAGACTACACCATATTCTACAGCATCCTACAATACATTCACATACTGCCATGTACGACCATATGCTACAACAGTCCACGAGAGTTGTGACTCAAGCTGAGCCACAGCCGGATGCTACAGGCTCAGGTCTGTCCAAACTCGAACGAACTGAGAAACACAAGCCAGCACATGCGCAAAGTTTATTCGGCGCAAGTTCCGGCCGACAGCAAGCCCCTAGTGTCACACGCAACCTCTCTCTAAGTTGTGTTGACACCCGACAAGCTGGATATCCCCACACTGCAGAGACGAATGCTAGCTTGGCAGAAATGCCCAACGTCGGACCTCTGAGTCCTTGCAGCCTGCTTTCAAGGTGGAATCTGAAACCGCCTACAAACAGCAACATCAAGAGTTACTACAGTCTACGGCACCAAATATCTCTCGAGGAAGCAACCAATGGCATTCTCAACCATCTGACCACAGAAGAAAAAAGACATTTAGGGTTCTAGGGCTTCAGGGCTTGCACCCGGCCGGACCTGCCACTTCTGGGAAGGCAATGCCTAGGTCTAGGGGGCCCAGGGCGGAGAATTTAGGGGTTGCTACAGGGCGTCTCAGCAAACCTTCTGAAGACGGAAGGCACAGGGCTGCGGGCCTTAGGTTGTGTAGTTTGTCGGGTAGTTCAAGGTTCGGGGCTGAAAAGGACAGAGATAGGGGAACGGGCCATGAATCTGCACTTGGCGGGGGGCCAAGGGTTCGCCCTGGCTATGCACTGCTCCAAAAAAAGAGCTTTTCATCAGACAACTCTGCGGCCAATCACCCTGCACTCATCAAAACAATATGACCCTGGGCCCCGTAGTTTTATCTTTTGGGGCCCGCGCGAGTTTTGTACCCATGCAGCCCGCTGAGACTATGCGACAGTGGCGCGTAGGCGGCGAGGCTCGACGTGTCGCCATATGTACAACATTCTCGAATATTCTCGAATATTCTCGACTATTGAAGCAAGTCAACCTTTGAGTCGAAGGGCTTAGGATTCCTAAGATACCTCCTCTGAAAGCTTTTGCATGAGCTCTGTTCACTCTTGCAGGACTCCCAAAACACACCTCTCCGCTAGGTATATTTCCGCTCGCCGAGCCTGCTGCCAGTAAACCAGGCAAGCCAACCACTGCACGAATTCTCATGCACTAGAGCCCCTTGCGAGTCATTGGTCCGGACTGGAGGTCTCCTCGACAAGCCGGAAGACCGCGGCCCGTCATGTGGGAACATGCAACCTCTTCCCCGCTGAGACATTTACCTCGCGGCTGCTTTCCAATCTCTGCTCAAAAATGACGACATGCTCTGCCAAGGCAGCAAAAGTTCGGAGAAACTCGAAGCTTCTCCGAATCTTGAAATTGAAAATCTCAGAGCCGACATGGGGCATCATGTGGCACCCCGCGGCACACTTCTTCGGCTGGATGTCTAATCGACGTGTTAGGCCGTGCCAGCTTCCGGAGCCTGAAATTGGGAATTGGGAAGGAGGCTACTGAGGCTTCGGGCTGCTTTCGAGTTCCGTAGCTTCGCACAAATGCAGATACTCGCTGTGTCTTTTTGGTTTGGGGCATGTTGTTGGATTTGGAGGTTTCTGCTTTGGTGTCCATGCGGTTCCACACAAGTTCAGGTTGTATAACTCGCGCCATCGTCAGGGCTGCATGGGTCTAGGGCTTTGGACTTGCTCATCTCGGTCCCGTCCTGCCGGGCACACCTGCTTCTTAAATACCGTGGCAGTGGCACTCTTGTCTCCTGATACGTTGCTTGAGACATTTTCGCACCACATTTCGCGTGCCCTACGCCGCTAAAACGAAACGCGAGAAGCAAGAAGCAGACAGCACATGGCAAGCATAGCAAAAAGTAAGAGGGACAAGAGGGACGAGTAGACAGCACACATCAAACAGAAAGCAGACAGCGCATGGAAAAGAAAGAGGGAGGTTTTGGAAAATCACAGAAAGTACGGAAAAAAACTCCCACACGAGAGAAGAGCGCGCAAGGCAAAAACAAAAAGCAAGAGGGAAGAGCAGGGAAGAGCAAAGCCACATGGAAACACCAAACAAACAACAAGTTGGATGAGCAACCGCGACGACAGGCATGCTTCGACATCAATTGCACCGCCGGCATGCTAATTCAGGCAACATTCCGATACAGCTGCCCGCCTGAGCCTCCCCTCCTGACCGGCTTAAAAAAAGCGGACACGGCAGCGCGCAGAACAAACAACACACTGCACAGTCAAAAAGCAAACACCAAAAAAAAACAGAGGGGCAAGCAGAGAGAACACAGCAAAGCAGGCAGAACACTACAAATTATTTTACTTCGAACATCCCCACCCTCTCTTGGTAGAGATACTCTGGGGTTGGGCACTCCACTCCAGGGAGACTCTGGGGCTGGGCACTCCGGGGTTGGATTTCAGGGAGACTCTGGGGTTGGCACTCCAAGAACACTCTAGAGTTGGGCACTCCAGGGACACTTTGGGGTTGGGCACTCCAGGGATGAGCGAGGAGTAGACGGGGCGAGGAGAAGAGTTCCGGGCGAGGAGAAGAGTTGAGTTAAAAATCTAACAACCCCACACCGCGGGTGGGGAAAAACACAAGAGCAGGTGACAAAGCGGAGTCGGCGTGTTTTGTGGTTGGCTCTGCCGCCCAAGGCATTGGTGGCTTCTGAGGGTCCTGAACATGGGGGCATCTGGATCTCGCTCTCAAGAATTCATCAGACCAACGAAGATCGCGGGCTGCGTGAGGGCTGTGGGAGTCACGGGAATCTTGGAGCTCTTCGGACTTGGCCCTGGTTGTGGTTCCTGGTCTTGTGTAGGAGCGTGCACGTTGGAAACCTGGCATGACAGATGCTGTAGGAGTCGCACGACAGATGTCGCATTTCATCATGTAACTGCCAATTGGCCCTGCAATGCTATGCACTACCGCGTATCAAGCTCCGCAAGCTCAGGATCGAAAGGACTCTCCGACGATCGGAGCCAGGGCCGGGCTCTCCCTTGCACGAAAAAACGCTTGGATCCTTGAGGCCCTGAAACCCGCCTAGTAAACTTCCCTAAGCCCCGACAGAAGACCCTTCTCTGGTCCTCTGTGCAAGGGACCTCTGGGCCCTGCCCTGGGTCCAAAGCAGGCCGCATTTGTCGTCCTTTCCGACTCCCTGGACTATACATGTGCTTCCCAAAGGCATGTGGTTCTTGGGGATGTGGACGGCTGTCGACACCGATTCTCTTACAGTCGTGGGGGTGAGCTCATTTCAAGCGCGAGGCCCTCCACACCAACAAATTACACCGGCACCAGTCGTTTTGCCAAAGAGGTTCTACGATGAGGATTCCAACATGAACATGTAGATTGGCAGACTTCGCAGTTCGCCGAATGAACAGAATGACTCAGCTGCAGCATTGCTGGCTCCAAAGAACAAGAACAGGTCACAACAGTTTTGTGGGCAGAAGGCACAGGCCCCCGTAGATTGAACGAAAGCCTGTGTATCTGCGAACCCGAGACGATGGCGAAACCCTGGCCACTCTTAGTCCACAAGTCTAGAAAGTTTGAGCCTTTGGTGCTGAACCCAAGCGAGCATGACAGGCGCGTTTCTCAAGAGACCTGCCACACACGCTACCGCTACTGACTCGGTACTGCAAACCATCAGCGCCACATCCCGCAACGACAGGCTTGGACAGCCGGTCTCAGGCCCCAAAGGCCCAACGCGACTTCTTCAAGGCATGCATCAGGGCATCTTGCCTCAAGACTCAAATCGGCTCTTTTTTCGGGGGGAGGGGGAGGGGTGGGGTGGGGCGGGATGGGTTTCAGAGGTGGGCTACGAGATCTTGAAGGCAACGATACCAAGAACAAGTTTCCTCCGCAACATTACCGGGGATGGCACGTCTTAATCACAAGGCATCATATGCTGCAAGTCGGAACACGCTGAGCCCAACTGGCCAATGATCCCGGACATTGAATTTTCCGAGAAAAACACCCGGCCAGCGACAGCCCCAATACCCAGAAAAGCCCCGATCTAAAGTAAGGAGTCACTCTCAGCTTTGGGGCTTGGATTTGTATCCGTCCAAGGTTTAAGTTCCGCTTGGGGGCGCAACGAACTCTGCACCACCCTTTTGCCCAGGCACACATCAGCATTGAAGCTCTCGAAGTCACCACAGCCAGCCTACATCAAAGAGCTTCGTGGACCATGCAATTTGTGAGGGGTCATCGACATGCTAGGGCAAAGGCCACAGAAAACCCTGTCAAAAGACAACTGTGCCCGAGAGCGTAAACAAAAAACACGATCTTGGCCTCGATCGTGGCCAAAAGCCGCTGTCGATCGCGATCTTTGAAACACTGTGCCGCCTTGTGACACCCAGGCTCTGGTGGGGGCGAGGGCTTCAGTAGACGATTTAGCTTTCCATACATCAAATCTAGTCCTGTGGCAAAACGCCGAGCAACTACCTCAAAGCCACGACACCGAAGTGTCCGAATGCATCGTTCCCTTCTTCCCTTCAGGGAGTTGAAGCCCTGTTCTGACTCCTGGAGGCCACCAATGTTCACCCTGAAGGCCTGGGCGTCGAATGTCTGGATGCGCTCATCCATGTCGGAGCAGATGGGCAGAAGCCTCCCCGCTTTAGGGCTGAGAGAAGGGTGCTGAGAAGGGATTTCGTGGACACAAAAAAGCATGACTGCCAGAGGCGGCAAATCCATCGCTTAGCGCCCTGGGGCCCTGGGTGCTAGCGCCAAGCCGAACAAGCTTCGAGCTGACGAGAGAGAGAGATAGAGAAAAAAAAATAGATATACATATATATATATATATAATATTATTTTTACATTATATATATATATATACATATTATTATTATTTTTTGCTTCAAACATCCCCACCCTCTCTTCTTGGTAGAGATACTCTGGGGTCGGGCACTCCAGAGACACTCTGCGGCTGGGCACTCTGGGGGGCTGGGACTCTGGGGTTGGGCACTCCAGAGCTGGGACTCTGGGTTGGGCACGCCAGGGAGACTCTGCGGTTGGGCACTGGCTCCAGGGAGACTTTGCGGTTGACTCCAGGGAAATTCTGGGGTTGGGCACTCCAGGGAGACTCTGCTCAAGGGAGACTCTGGGGTTGGGCACTCCAGGGAGACTCTGGGTTTGGGCACTCAGGGAGACGGAGTAGACCGGGCGAGGAGAAGAGTTCCGGGCAAGGAGAAGAGCTCCGGGCGAGGAGAAGAGTTGAGTTTAAAATCTAGCAACCCCACACCGAGGGTGCGGAAAAAAAGGGAGAGAGAGAGAGAGACAGAGAAAGGGAGGGAGGGAGAGAGAGAGAGAGAGGGAGAGAGTTCAGAGTGTGGAGGGCATAAAGCCCGAAAGTCACGGGAGTGGTTGACCAGCGCAGCTTCAACAGGACTGAGGCCTCTAAGCTGCTTGTGAGGTCCGCAGCGTCAGCCACTGACTACACACTCATTCCTACTAATTCCCACGCATCTGGACCCTCTGCTTCACTTGTCGGGGGGCTCGATGGAATCAATGGAACGGGACATCTGCAGGTAGACGAAGACCTCCTCAACACACCAAAGGCGGTCCTCAGCTTGCAGTACTCGGCAGCTTCCGGACGCAGTGTAGCGCAGTAGGGATATTATGGATATTGGAGTTGAGGTCGGAAGCATTCGAAAAATCCGTGAACTTGAGCGACCGAGGTGCAAAGTAGGTCTCTCCTGCGATGATGAGCAACGTGTGGCAGCTGGCAAGGAATACCTCATTTTCGGCTGCGATTCGCAGGTTTTGCGCCCCATCCAAACTCAAATCACATCTGACGGTCTCAGACTTCTTTGCACCTTTTGGACTCAGAGTTCAGGGGAGGGGCGCAGAAACAAAGATCCGGACGCCGAAGACCATCGCCCTGTCTCCTACCTTCCCTCCAGGACAACCCAATGCTCTGGAGCCGTGAAGTCCAAAATGTCCAAAGCACAACAAACTGGCTATTCAATCGATTTGGCCCAGGGGACCGGAAGGCACATGAGGCTGGCTTCAATGTTCTCCTGGTCGATACAATACCTTCGATCCGGTTTCCTCTTTGTACTTGCTTGAGAAGGACCGAGGCTTTCTGCATTGATGGCTCAGGCTTTGTGCAGGTCTGGTCTTCGCTGCTTGCAAACATCCTGTGACAAATTTTGGTGCTGCGAGTCTCATGGCTTTACATCATTGAAGTTGCGGCAAGCATTTCGACCCCACTCAATGAATCCTGAAGCCGTGCTGCCTGACTGCCCGCACTCTCCCTTTCCAAAGTGCCGAGCTAGAACCCTCCACAATTCAAGCCCTTTAAAGGCTCGCAGGGGTGCTTGTCAATCCAGAGACGTGGCTCACGCTGATGCTGGGCCTATCGCGAAACTCCAAAAAACTGCACGCTTTGTTGTGCGGATTTGTGGGTTCAGAGGGCAACACATGGCACACGAAGGTTCAGGGTGGCTGCGGAGTCGTGGAGCTCTAGCAGACTCTAGCACACAAGGAGTCATGTCTCAGGGCTTCGGCCTTGAAGGACCTGCGCCAGGCTTGTAGTGCCTCCCACTTGGCCAGAGGCGGGTCGTGCCAACTGTGGCTCCTTGGTCGAGAGCTTTTTAGGCTGCTGAAGGCTTTGAGGATTTGAGGACTTTGCTTGCCGGGTCAGGCCAAGTTGGTCGCCTCTCCTCTACCCCCCCCCATCCGAACTTGGCAACGAAACCTTCCTTGCCCCACTGCCAAACCTATCCCACCAGCATCGACCTACAGGTCACCTGCGAGAACTACTAACTACTGCCCCGAAATCCTGCATTTACACCGGGATGTGAGCAGATGTGAGCAGGGTTGGGTCTCACAACTCTGCGTCCAAGAGAGCAAGGAGGATTCAAGCGGCTTCGACGCTCACGTAAGGAAGGTTTCGGGTTTGGGGCTGTGGGAGCTTCTCGGAGGCCCAGGGTCAAGAACGCGTCGATGTCCTGAATGCCAGGGGCGGACGGGAACGCTTCAGTTCCTAGCGTTTCGAAAAGCTTCAACGTGCTCTGGCCAAGGGCTTTTCTTTGCCTATTTCCAGGAAGCCAACCGAATCGGCTGGTTGCCAGATGGTAGTGCTCGGACAGTGCCACGGGCCATCTCGAAACAAGCGAAACGAGCCCGACCTGAAACCCCCAACCCAACAAGCCCAAAACCGAGCCAACACGGCGTACGACGGGCCTGCAGCCGGCAGGGCGTCGATAACCGCCTCAGGTTCGGATCTGGGCTCGAGGTCATCATGTCCTGGCACAAGGCGTCATGTAGCTTCCTGCAGGCTCTTCGCCCTTCGAAGAATTCGAAATCTCCAAAGTGGGGCGGGTTTTGGTGAGTTCGGGTTTCAGTAAAGGGGTCCAAGGATGCTCAGCCCCACCCGCAGCATCCTTCTGAGTGACTTTGTCGAGGCCGATGTAGTGGCACGTGTTCTGAGAGACCTCCCAGGATCTCGGTTTGAAGCTCAGGGCATGGATTCTGTGATCTCCGGGCAAGCCAGAACGCGAAAGCCGAGGGACGAGTCCCTTCAAACTCGTCCCAAGGTGCCACTGAAAGAGGCGCGCTCTGCCCCCCCCAGCACGTAGCATGGACCAGACTTAAAACCATGTGGGCTTGAGGCCCTCCACATCCACACTTCCGGCGGCTGCGCAAGTCGTGATGGTGGCTTTTGCCAAACTTCACAGATGCCGACAAGATTTGCGGGATACATCGGGATACCAATTTCCGTGGCAAACGTTGCAAAAGAAAGGATGCATCGGATCTTGAACATTCCCAACGACCCCCGCATGTTCTTTTCAATGCTTGGGATGTTTTCGGCCTCCATGACCTTCTGGGCGCTGCGGTTGCCTCTGCTTCGGTGTGTGCAAACGGAAACTTTCCGTGTAACCTGAAATACCGCAAGTCCCCAAAGCTCAACGCCCTGAGTTGTGCAAGCCTCACCCCTGAACAATGTTCTAACTCCCCTAGTCCAGCTCTGCAAGGTGCCGCCCCGGACCCTCAACTGCAACCTTTTCAGTGCTCGAAAGCCTGAAAGGGTTGGCATGTTCAAAGCAGCGATGGTCTAATGATCTGAGCCGAACCGCGACATTCCTAGAGGATTGAATCTAGAGCTGTTTCAACACGGGAACCAGGATCGTGCGAAAATGAACAAATGGGATTCATCTTTTGAAAGTCAGACTCCCCACCCTCCGTGTTGTGGGACTTGTTCCAGGAGGCTCATGCTACCCTCGAAGGGATCGGGTCAAGGGGAACGTGGCTGCATATGAAACTTGCGAACTCATGAGCGAGCATCCGATGCATGAGACTATCGATATCTCTGCGCTGCGAAAGTATCAGATGGGAGTTCATGGAAATTGTGGGCCCCCTTTTGTGGCACCCTAGTCTGCCTGGACAAGCATACTACAATTTTGGGGGTCGCAAGTTTCTGGGCAACCCCCCTATTTGGGAAAACCACGGGTGGGGACAGGAAAACCACGGGTGGAGACAAAGAGAAAAAAACAACCGGGTGGAAAAGGGTGCCCAGTGTGGGCAAAGCCACCGGATCCAGCATGTTGACCCCAAACCCTACACCAAACCCCCAAGTTCCCCAAGCTGGAAGCTGCACAAACCCCAAAAAAACCCTCAAGGCCCGGGATGCCAAGGAAGGCCGCCACGCTTGAGGCCGCGGTGAAAGCACCTCGGCGTTCCCCACGAGGCTTTTCGAGGGGTTTTGAGGCTGTTGGCCCGGGTCTTGGGGTTTTTGCCACCCAGAGCCGCAGTTGCTGGGGGTCAGGGTGGCCGGCTTTTGCAGGGAGTCTAGTGGAGTTCAGCTTGGGGGAGCGTGGAGGGAATTCACCGAACGTCCCCAAACTTGGGGACCCCGTGACGAGGCACCGCTGGCGGCCAGCAGCCGGAAGTGAACCCAGCGGCGGAAGCTGGGCAGCATCAGCAAGACACCTGGCACTTCTAGGGCCTTTCAATGAGGCTTAACATGGTGAACATATCCCAGTACTTGCTCGAAAGCTGCTGGAGCAGCTGGAGCAGCTCGAGCAGCTAGGTAGCAGTCGCAAGAGAGCACGTGAAAAGCATGACTTCGAGAGCTCGCAACGGGACTGTGCGTGCTTTGAAGCGACATCCTTTTGGATGCCAGTCTGGCACCCGCTGAAAGGACTACTCTACCTGTGCGGAAGGGAAAGGGATGGAGCCCTCCACATCACTCCGGCAATTCTCTTGGAAAGCGTGCTGTCAAGAAGCAGAAAGGAAAGGACTCCGCCCTCATCAACCCTGAACACACTCTCAGGAAAAACACGCCCAACCCTGCATGAATCTCGGAGATCGGCCTGAGACGAGGCCATAGACCCCGTGGAGGGTAGTGTAGAGGATCTGGGTTTGCGACTGATGCAGGTGTAAGCTTTGGGCGTCTTAGGGCTTCGGATGAGTGTTAGGAGCCTACGTCTGCGTAGCCAAATCAAAGTGGATGATGAGGCACGGGGAAGGACAAGTGCAGAACTCGACAACCCCTCCACGGCGGCGAAGGAAGCGTCTGCCAAACAGCAAAGGAGCCATGATGCGGAGACCGAGAACCCAAACCAGCAAATCCGGTGCCTCCCCCCCCCCCCGAAAGAATGGGCCATATTTCGCGCTTCAGGTTCAGTGGCTTAAGGGAAGGTCCAAGGCGCCACATCTGCAGGGATGGATTTCCCCAAGTGTGCCTTTATCGCCAGCGCCGGCAGCACCGCCTTGCATGTCTCTTTTGCCACCCGGAAGGCGGGTTTCAGGGCTGAGCAGCTTCTGGGTGTGGAGTTCAAGGGCGGAGCTATAGGGGCTTCTTGGGGGCGACGCGGGTAGCTTTACAAATGCCTGCAACACACGAAGGCCACTAAGCTTCTCATGACCTGCTCGCATCTACTCGCATCTACTCTGTCTCTTTTTTGGCGCCCATGAGCCGTGCCATGGCTCCTTGGCCGGCTTCATGGGCTCCTGTGGGCCCTTGTCGGCTTTAAGAGGTTTGGAGCCTCGATGTTTTTGTTTGGTAAACTTCTCGCTAATTGAGTGCCAGCCGGGTCCTGCGCAAGCTTTGCTTGGAGCAAAAATTAGGGCTTAGGGCCTTCGACCATCTTTCTTGCAGCGCTTCGGGACGCCGCAGTCTTGAGAAAAGTCTCCACAAGGCTTCACCCGGAAATTCCTATGCCATATGCAGACCCTTGGCTCCACTCCTTGCCAAGCCCCCAGCACCCAACACCACAAGCAAAGCCAATTTTACTCTTCACACGAATACATCTAAGCCCGAAACTTGAGGCGAATCAACAACCCACAGCTTGCAGCCCTGGGCCGAAGTCTTGCAACCATGGAGCGAGGAAGTCAGTTGCACCCTGGCAAGGAAGCAGCTGAGGCTTTTGGGTTAAGGAGTGACGTTCAGGAGGGCCTAAGTCTTGCATCCGTTTACCCCGCCATGCTGCGTACATCTGCCTTGCATTCTAGGACCTGCAGGTTGAGAGGTTTGAAAGCAGCGGCGGCGAGACTTTCAAACAAGGCACAGCATAAACTGAATTGCCCCAACGTTCAGAAAGCGGCCTCACACCGCGACCTATGGATTTTGCAGCTGCGGGAGAACGGTCACATGACTAGCAGCGATGGATTGGGAACCGACACAAGTTGTGGTTTGTCTTCGCACCTGCCTAAAGCCTAAAAGAATCCCCCCTAGAAGCGAAGAAAAAAACTCTGGACTCGGTGCCCCGCCTTGGTCAGGTGCAGCAGCGCCAAGCCCACCCACAGGCGGCCGATGGTGGCTCGCCTCGGGCAACACTTGGATTCTTTTTTCATAAGGATGGCTTTGAGGACTGCAAAAAAGAACCGGCACCGCCGGGGCTCAAGGCTTCTCCTGCGCTCGTAAGACTCGTATCACCAAACCCTTACCCAAATAAGCCCCGCACACGAAGTCGACAGGATTTAAGTAGGCCTAGATGTAGGCAGGCTGCGACGGCAGGAGCATGCCATAGGCGAGGTAAGGCAGCTGCCACACGTGCATGACCTGGGTTGACCAGCTCCCCTTCAGATGTTGGGGCTGAGGATCAAGGAAGTTTTTGGCTGGAGCCTCGGCAACGGAGCGAACCCCAAAAGCCACACCTCAAAGCCCTTTCGTTCTGCAACCAGTGGGGGGGCTCAATTTGCTCAGTTCTCAATTTTTGGAACTGCTGTGAAACGTCGTGGATTCTCATGCCGGCGGGGGCAAAGTGTGGTTGGCGAAGATGTGAGCTCATGTGCATGGCGGGTATTCAAGGTCTGGCCCGAATCAGACGTTTGCAAGGGCCCTCGTCCTGAACAACCTCACCGAGAGCTGGTTCAATCCTCATGGAATGCATGCGAAGAAAACCCCTTAGCTATGCGTTGTGCCCCTAGACTCCTTCATAAACTTGAAGCAGTGGACCACGTACATCAGCGAGATTGTGCCGATCGTGTACGCTCCAAGGAGGCAGTTTGTCTCCTTGCACTCGAGGCTCACAGGAAAAAGCACCCTGACTACCGAGAGCTCCAAGCAGGTCTGCTGTCGACTTTGCAGATTTGAGATGCTGTAGCTGTAGCTAAGCAATCGGCATTCAGCAGGGTGCACCTAGCTGCCCGAGCTATATACCATAAACTTAGAGGGATAAGGTTGAGGATCAAGATCACCTGTAGCCGGACTGCCTAGCTTGACGGCCCTTTGACCCGTGGTCCAAGGCAAGACGAAATCATTCGAAGTCCCTACACATGCTGAGAAGAATTGCAAACGTCATCGCATATCACGCACCCCGAAGAACCTCAAACAAGTGGATGAAAGCGCCTCATCCTCGATGTGGCAGGGCCGACCAGCTTCGAAGTAGCCTCGCCCCACTTGCGAGGGAAACAGGCATGATAGGCATGGTAATATGCAGAATTCTAGAGGATCTGGGCTTGAGACGTGCCGCCTAGAACTGGACGCCGTGCCCAGCAACATTCAAACAAATTGAGCAGCCAGCAGAAAGAAACGACGAAGCATATCTGAACCTGCTTGGGAAGCAAATTCGCGCGGCAGTGCGAAGCCAAGAGGCTTGTGAGCTGATGCGCGTACTCCGCGGCGTTCCGTGTGTGCCAAATCAGGCACTTCCTGGAACTACAAGTTGGGGTTCTTGGCATTCCTGGTCGCTCAATCGAGCAACACCATCTAACAGTACATAAGGCCGCCGCAGAGCGCCAGCAAAGAACAACTTCAATCCATAAACCAAATGAGATCCAATCCTCATGACATCAAAAGCTGTGGTTCTTTTGGTAGGCCCAGGGACACCCCGAGGATGATGAGGAGCAGGGAGCCGATCTTGGGGCCCCAGCGATCAGAGGGCCTCTTGGGGGGGGAATCTTGCGAATCTGCTTCAATCCGGGTTTGGCCTTTGATTTGTGTTTTGGCTCTGGACGTAGGCCACGGACCTATTGAGCTAGCGTTACAGCTTCACATGGCGGATTGAGGCCAGGAGCCCTAAAGAACCCCCTGGGGGTGAGGGGGGGTGTGGGGGGGGGGGTGGTGCTTGGAGCATAACCTCTCCCAATTAAGCTCCAGGGGCAGGCAGGCGCAAAGCCAGGAAATGCAGCCCAGGGAGCGCAGGAGGTCCTGTAGGGCAGAGGCTTCGGGGAGCCAGGGGGGGGGGGCACCCAAAAGGAGCATTTTGACCATTCCCCCTGCAGCTTTTATGACCGGGAATTCTGAGAATATGTGCCCTTCTCTACCTCGGCCGCAGCTTCTGGGCACTTAGGGGTCAGAGGCACAGCGTGCCAAGGTGTATCCACCCAAGGGCTCAAAAGCTACAGTGCGATGTGGGGTCTGGGGTTGTGGATGGTTAAGGGGGTCCACAGCCCTCAGTTCAAGCTTGGGCAGACCCCAACGCCGGACAGGAGTCCCGCACAAAAAGGAAGAGAGCAGCTTGGGATGTCCACGATGTGTAGACCCACCACATAGAGCCCCCTTGGCCATTGGGGTTTCGGCAAACCCTGAGCCTTTCAGGTGTGAAAAACACAGCGGCTTTAGTTCCAACGGCAGGCATTGCTACAGTTTCAGGAATGGTTGCTTTGCAGGGGCGGTGATGTGCAGCAGCAAAAGCCCTTCAGCGCACTCTGCCTGGCCTGGCATCCTAGTTCCGGCATGCACACAACCCCATGCTAGCTGCTAGAGGTTACGTTTTGCTCTACTAGACGGCAATGCTCACAATACACGACCACATCTCCAATTGGCCGTCGAGCCTGTGCAGGCCCAGGAAAAATCCCAATACGACCGATGTCAAAAAACGAAACGCGTTTCCTGGCACATGCCCTCTGCAATGCCACGGCACCCATGAGCAAGAAGCCACAGATCAGGGCCGGACAGCCTGGGCTTGGTCTTACTCACACTTCGGCTCGGTCCTAAGGGATTGTCCAAAGCTTGCGCCATCACACCACGCGAACTTTTTGAGCTTCTTGCACTTTGACGATTCCTTACCGTCCTAGCCCTGGCAGCGTCTCAAGAAAGCCGCCTAGAACTCCGAAAAGGAGACCTTGGTCAAAATACCGTGAGCCTCAAAAACTCCCAACGAGCCATCGTCCTTGCAACTCTGCGGGCCCGGGAGCGGACGCGACGCTGGAGACGCCGACTCTCTCTTTGGGCCTACAAGAAAATTGCAAAGGGTGCACAAGTACGTGTCACGACAGCGTCACACTTCGAATTCCCGACGCAGAATCTCGCAACCTCCAAATCTCCAAACCCCACTCAACACGGTGCACGTCGCCGAAGTGGCCTGGCTCAGGGCGCGCTTGACCATGCCCGCCTCCCAGCTCTCCTGTGGCTCTGGCGAAGACAAGGTGAGCACCGAGCCCAGGAGGCGCTTTAAGGCTTGCTAAGAGGCTTGAGGGTTGTCGGGATGGGGCTTCATGCCTTAAAGTCGGTGAGGAACCTGGTACCCGAGC